AGATACATTGCCATATATGGGCCTCGCTGCACTACTCTGGAAATCTGCAAAACGAGAGTGAATCTTGCGTTAGAATATGGAAAGATACACCGCCACATTTGTGTGTGTGTGTGTGTGTGTGTGTGTGTGTGTGTGTGTGAGAGAGAGAGAGAGAGAGAGAGAGAGAGAGAGAGGAAACCGTGTGAGAGAGAGAAGAAACCGTGTGCTGACACTATCGGACCAAAGAAACCGCCCTTATCAACGGGCAACATGAATCCGGAAGCGGGGCGACATGCACAAAGGATAAAAAATATGGCGGTGTATCTTTCCATGTTCTGGCGGAAGATTCATTCATACGTTGGGTGGTGGAGAACGAAGGGCCAATGAATCCGGTAAGCACGTAACGTATCTCTGCCAATGAATCCGGTAAGCACGTAACGTATCTCTGGAAACTTCTTTTTTTTTTTTTGGAGAATCTCTGAACAAATGAGACTGAATCCTCCGCTTGAACATGGAAAGATACATTGCCATATATGGGCCTCGCTGCACTACTCTGGAAATCTGCAAAACGAGAGTGAATCTTGCGTTAGAATATGGAAAGATACACCKCCAATATTTTTGTCTTTTGTGCATGTTGAGAGTAGTGCAGCGAGGCCCTATGTCTTGTTGTGCATGTCGAGAGTTGTGCAGCGAGCCCGTTGGTGAACATTACCGTTGAGGTTCTGACAGGTTGGACGCGCCGGGCTTCACTCGTGCAAAGAAATTCTGATGTTCTTCCTTAAAAAAAGAAAATTCAGCTCCCCCCCCTTTTTTTTTTCCGGGGCCCCGCGCGGCCTCAAATTGTTGTTGCTTTTTTTTTTTGTTTCTTGACGCGACATCCCACTTGAGCTTACAACACCCCTTCCCAACTTTTTTTTTTTTTGGCCGACCCCTTATTTTTGGGCTGCGCCGCACCCCGTGCGCGTGCGTCGTCCGCGGTGCGCGGTGCGGCGCACGTGCGGGATGCCGCGCACCTCGATGCGCCGCAAGTATGGTTTCAATAAGTCCATACGAACTTCGGATTACGATTACGATTATTACGTCCTTCAAGATGCCTGCCCGTTAAAATTGGACTGATAGTCTGATACAGACAGAGAAGATAAACAAAGCCCCTGCACAAAGATGACGCACATAGATCACGGAATGGTCCAAATTTAAATAAATAAATTAAAAAAAAAAAAAAAAAAGAGTGGGGATCCAGGCCACCCCGGTGACCGGCAGGGGCCCACGGGAGGTCCCGGGCGGTCTGGGTGGGGAGGGCACCCGGTTGGGGGCTGGGCCCCCCCAGTGCAATCACCTGTCCGGGGGTTTTGGACCCCCTTTTGGCTGGTATTGGCCTCCCGCAGGCCTACCGGGTCCAACCGGCCCAAGAAACCGTCGCGTTGGGCCCGACAGGACTGCTTTTTTTTAAAAATTCGCGCCGGCTCTGTGACCGTCGATCCACCACGATCGACGGCCACAGAGCCGGCGGATCTTGGCACCAACCTTCCCCTCCATTCGAACCTCCGATCGGCTGGGGTGCTCTGCCACTCGCCCCCCAGCATGATCGGAGTTGGTGCCGACCTTCTGCTGCGCCGTCCTGCTGCGCCATCGCCCGTCGCCATGGCCATCGACTGTCCTGCTGCTCCTGCTACAACGAAGGCCCTGCTACTACGACGAAGGCCCCGACGAAGGCGCCGTTCTTCTTCTTCTTCTTCTTCTTCTTCTTGTCGGAATCATTTAGGGTTTGTGTAGGACAGGGAGACGAAGGCCCTGCTGCTAGGGTTACTGTTGCAGGTAACGACGAAGGCCCCAGCAAACTTCTTCATCTTCTTCTTCTTCTTCTTCTTCTTCTTCTTCCTGTCGGAATAGTTTAGGGTTTGTGTAGGACGGGGAGACGAAGACCCTGCTGCTAGGGTTACTGTTGCAGGTAACGACGAAGGCCCC